AGGCTTAGAATGTATTGATTTAGACTTGATTTTCTAATATAATAATATGTGCTTACATTTGCTTTAGTCTCATAAACGTTTGATATATGCGGTTAAGTCTATTTAAACTTGATATGATTTCTTTAAGTTTGAGATTGAAAACAATACAATTAAAAACATCTTAAGTCGTCTTTTATCTCACGCTCCCAACGTAAATATCTAATTAATGTTAAGATTTTTGGTCTATGAATCTAAAGTTTTGGTCTTTGCTGGTTTTCAAGTCCAAAGGTTTTCATCTTTAATGATAATTTTAAGAGTACTTTTGTATAATTTTTACTCCCTATACGGATGTAGGGAGAAGTCGTACTTCTATTCTTACATATTCAACATATTTAGCCCTTCATGATTAATTGATCATTTCATTATTTGAAAAGCTAAAATAGAGAGTTGCAATTTTTCGTGAAAGTCAAAATACACTACTATTTAAAAGTTGTTCGTGCAAAAAAAACTCTATAAATACTTTCATTATTATGTTTGAGGATTATTAGCTTAATATTTAACTTCTATCGGCAAAGACTCATATTTCAACTTTTCTCACAATCACACTTTCAATGATTAATTATTAAATATTGAAGAAGAAAATCCTATTTCCATTTCATTTTTCATTCCTTTCTAACTTTAAGTTGGAAAATTTGCATTACTTAATTTTTTATGCAAAACCATATTTCTACTATATAAAATAAAATAATACAAATGGTGAAATTTATATTACTTCTAATAAATCACATTATAGTGCATAACATGTGAAAGATATATAACTAGAAAGATGAAATTGAAACATACGATTATAAAAAATAGTTCAAAGTTTTCTGGGTAACAAATACGTCATAATTTTATTAAACAATATACTAAGTTATAGTGATTAAATTACTTTAGCAACTTCTATACAAACATAAACAAATGAACTAGTTAATTCATTGACAAGTTAGAGTATCATTCTATATTAATTTTATAAATTTTGTTAGAAAGTTTTATGTTATAGATTATTATATAAGGTTAATATTTTAAGATTTCATTAAAGTTCTCGCCAAGCATTGGGAAAAAATAGAATTAAATAATAAATAAAAATTAAATGATTTAATTCAAGTATAAGTATTGTGATTTATATAAATTTGTAATTTTGAAAATTCACAACGGAAAATTTGTGAATTTCATGATAGTAAGGGATATGATAAGCTAATAATCCTATATTTAATGTCTTTTGTGCCCATAAAAGAGCTTCCTCATTTGAATAGCTCACATGCTAAGGATGTGACCTTTTTAGTGAGGGTACTCTATATAGTTATTATATCATAGGAGCAGTTCATGGTGAGCATCATACTCGCACAGTTAAACGACGTCATATATTATAAGTTCATGCTGTAAATTTTATGCATTGAAATGTGACTCGAGTTGCTACAAATGTAATCTCAATTAGCGCGCGGCAAATGTAACTTAAACTCGTCCATTTGAATGTAACTCACATTATTTCCTTATGTGATTATTCTCTCACCTTTCATACTGTATGTATGAAATGTAAATCACGTATATGCATTAACTTCAGGCAAGTCGAAATATAAACTGTGTAATGCAAAATGTAACTTGTTAAGTAATGTCGAAGTATAATTCGTGTTCATTGATATGTAACTAGAGACAAGTCAAGATGCATGTAAATGACGACGTTAATGGAAATTAAATGTAACTTGAGACAAGTTGAAATGTAAATTATATTAGATGGAAAATGTAACTTGAGACAAGTCAAAATGTAGATTGTCTAGTATAAGGTATATATCTTGAAGGAATATTGCAGTTATTTAAATATAAATATAAATTTTTAGTTTAGATTAATAAACATTAATTTTGAAGTGATGGAGGGAGAAAAACCCTAGGTTTATTTCAAAGATGAAGAGAAACATATTTTTATTAGATTATTAATATTTTGATTAATGGGAACAAGATAATTAAAGAAGAGAAGAAAAGAAAAAGAAAACAAACTGAAGATGAAGAAAAATGAAGTTGTTAGATTCGTAATATTTAGATGAAGGACTAGAAAACAATTGAAGAACAGTTCTTAGACCGTGGAACCGGTGCATGGTGAGCACCATGCACCCTTTGTTATTTTTGATTTCTCCTTTTCTTAAAATTGTTAATAATTTTTTTATTTTTAATCCGATTTTTATAAAATTTATATCAAAATTTTTTATTTTTCATGATCTTTCAAATGAGATCAATATTGCCTATGTAATTTTAACATATTAACATTTGCGTGTAAAAATATGTAACTTTACGTGTTAAAATATGTAACTCACGTTCAGTCAGGCCAAATGTAACTCGTGTGTATAAATATGTAACTCTACGTGTAAAAATATGTAACTTTACGTAAAAAAATATGTAACTCGCGTTCAGACAGGTCAAATGTAACTCGTGTGTATAAATATGTAACTCACGTGTATAAATATGTAACTTTACGTGTAAGAATATGTAACTTTATGTGTAAACATATGTAACTCGCGTTCAGGTAGGTCAAATGCAACTCGTGTGTATATATATGTAACTCGCTTGTAGAAATATGTAACTTACGTGTAAAAATATGTAACTTCACATATAAAAATATGTAACTCACATGTAACTCAATGATTTTTTATATACACAATTTTAAGATAAATTGTGATTTACACAATTATTTTTTTGTATTAAATTTAGTTCGGTTTTCCTTATAATCCTATAATCATTTATATAATAGTTCCATAATTTGTTAAAATTACATAAGCAATATTGGTCTCATTTGATAGATCATGAAAAATAAAAAATTTTGATATAAAATTTATAAAAATCGGATATCAATTCAAAAAGTTATTATACTTTTTAACAATAAAAGAAAAAAAATAATGGAATGAAGCTCTGCGTCGTTTTGAATGAAGTCATTTTGAATGAAGACATGCGTCGTTTTGCAACCGGGCGCACCATCCTCATGGTGCGCCGGTTGCACGGTATAAATTGCCATTGAAGAAGAATATATGGTCGGAGAAGAAGATTGATTTGTTGGGCTTTTCTTACTTAAGGAAACGATATTGTATTAAAACCGGTATACGATTGCATGGAATAACGGTCTCACAATATAATCAAAAAATCTATTGATACACATTTTCATACAGACACCTACACACTCATGTTTGTGAAGAGTATTTTTTTGTCTGTATACAGACATAACGTATTTGAAAATGTGTTATATCTGTATACAGACAAAAAAATATTCTTCACAAACATGAGTGTGTATGTGTGCGTATGAAAATGTGTACCCCAAGTTGAATGTTAAAATCAACTTCACAAACATGACCGGTTGTATAACACATTATTTTACATTGTTTGACATTGTACAATCATTACAATTTAAGTGACGATTGTGCATTCATAAATAAACGCAATCACAAATATACATTTTTCAGTATATTTGTGATCACGTACAAATTTTGGTGACTTTGGACATTATCATAGGAATGATTACATTTTCACACCTACTACATACTCCGTACTTGGCAATATGAGCTCGGGTTTAATGCACCAAACCCCCCTATGATTTGGAAATTCGGCGCATTAGCCCCCTGTGATTTAAAAAATGCGTCAAACCCCTTTGTGTTTTAATTAATCATGCACAGAACCCCCTTTACGAATAAATTTAACGATTTGAAAATCACTTTTCCTAATATTTTGATTGAATATGCAAATAAATATGTCAAAATCTCTGAATCATACAAAAATGTTAATCATTTTTCTTTTATTTGACAATTGAATTTGTTCACATAAGGGATTTGGCGCATGATTAATTAAAACACAGGGGGGTTTGACGCATTTTTTAAATCACAGGGGGCTAATGCGCCGAATTTTCAAATCACAGGGGGGTTTGGTGCATTAAACCCATATGAGCTCTTAATTTCATTGCACAGAATCTTTAGTTTTAATGGTAAAGACTTAATTATTTTTATAATTAAGATTTAAATTATTCTTAATATTTTTTAAATATATGTTATTATATTTTGTATATGTGAATAATAAAAAGTGCTTGCATAAAGTTTAGGAACACATATTTTGAAGGAATGTACTACGTAATACATATTGTAATTTTAAAATGTTTTAAAGAACTTTTTTCTTCAACTTTTACTATTATTATCACCCTATTAGAACCAAAATTATCCATCCTTAGACTCTCCAAAAAAATTATCTATCAGAGTAATTGTGTTTTCTGTTATTACGTTGGACTGAAAAATGATCTTTTTTAATTTTTTTTTTCTAAATCCTTATGCTTGCATAAGAAATACTCCGTACTTCGTATACAAATAGAAATAAAGACGAGTAAAATGCATATCTCATCTAGAAGGGACACTTTTTATTCTATAAGACAACCTTTTGAAAAAATGTGTAAATTTTAAAATAAAATGTTTATTTATATGAAGTATATCAACTACACTACCATAAATTCCACATAAGTAAAGATGTTATTAAAAACTTGAACATGCACAATTTTGTCAAAATGGGGGCACATATAGTAATTACTCTCCATTCCGAAATAAAGGTTCTCCTTTCCTTTTCAGTCCGTCCCAAAATAAATGACTTACTTCTTTAACTTTTCTATTTGGTAAACAAATCTATATCAAATAGTGTCGAACAGTATCGCTACAGTGTGAAACAGTGTCGCTACAATGCCAAATAGTGTGCAGCCAAATTTATTTTTTTAATCTGTGTGAAAGTCAAAACAAGACATTTATTTCGGGATGGAGAGAGTAAAAGGTGCATCAAGTAATCCCATTCAGTTTTCCCCAATAAATATAGGATCATTCTTGGTGTACACAATATGTACACAAAATGTGTACATTGTCTGTGTACACATGCAATTTGGCATCAACTCCTGTCCCTTTTTTAACGAATTGCCTATATACAGATTATACACAGACAACTAGAAGGGTTTTGTGTACAACTTGTGTAGCACTAAGCATTTTCCATAAATATATCACCTTTGTCGTTAGCATTATATTGTGGCCAGTGAAGCAGGACAAGAAAAGGTACAGTGGGTAAAACGATCGATCCGAAGAATCCACCTTCTCTCTCAACTGCTCATCTTCTCTCTCTAGACTCAGTAAAATATTCACACACACAAAACTAAAATAAAAATAGCAATTATAGAAAAGGAAAAGCCTTCTTCTGGATTTTTTGCTGTTCTATTCATTTCTCAGGTGGGAGATCTCGTGGCCGTGTGCTTCTTGGAGTGCTGTCGATCAATGGAAAAACTTTGAGCTCTCTGTCGGGTAAAGATCCCCCTTTATGTATTTTTCTCCAAAAAATCGGTTTAGAAATCGTAAATATCGCCTCTTGATCAAGAAGGATACATATAGAATTATATAATACTACTTTTATATACTATTACTAGTATATATTTATGTATTTTGTCCTTATCCGACAGAACCCACATCGGGAAAACAAAAAAAATACACAAAACTTGGAGAAATCTCTGGTACGGCGACCGAAGGATTGCTTAAGAATCATGGCGGTGGTTGAAAATGCTGCGTTGAACGGCGTCGGATCATCGAACGGGAGCGACGCGAGTGTACAGAACGGCGTCGTTGCCTCTGATCATCATCAACAGTCAGCGAAGACTGATCAGCGGTCAACTGAACCGAGCAGGGATCAGAATTTCCAGTTGACGCAGGACGAAAAAGAGGAGGGCAAGAACGGGAATGGCGTGGATTTAACGATTCAGGGAGAGATTGACAAGGACGGCGATGGTAGCGGCGGGGAGGGGTATAAGAGGGAGAAAGAAATGAGGGATTTGGCAGATATGCTGTCGAAATTGAACCCCATGGCTGAGGAGTTTGTGCCGCCGTCTTTCATCAACCATATACCCGTGCTTCTGCCTCCGGGCGGAGGGCATTTTGGGTATGATGCCACAAACTTTGTTGCTCTTCAGACTCACTCTGGCCTCCCCAATGGGAACTTCATCAGAAGGGTAAATATCTAGCATATCAAATGAATGGATTTTATTTTCCTGATTACTCATGGGCGTGTTTGAATCATGGAAAGTGCTAAAGAAAAGGGGGCAAATGCCAAGAAAAGTTCCTTTTTTGGCTTCATCTTCCGGAATTTTTTCCTCTCATATACTTTGAAATTTTGATCTTTACATAATACAAATAAGTACATAGAATGAGTGTGAACAAGTATCTAAAAAAACTTTATTGAGTTCGAGCCTGTCCTTTATTTCACCCCAAAAGTTTCTTTCCTCCCCATTTTCTTCTCTATATTCCTCCTCATTTTCTTCTATGGTATCTCTGGATTCAAACATGCCTGTAATGTTTGCACTTTTCTGTTTTTCATTTGAATGATGATCTGAGAAATTTTGAGCTGTTGATCAACAGTTGCAGAAGAAGAATGGATATACTAATGGGAAGAGAAGGCTGAATAACAGGACAAGCTTAGCTCAAAGAGAAGAGGTCATAAGGAGGACTGTTTATGTATCTGACATTGATCATCAGGTAAGACAACCAACTTAGATGAATTTTATATGTTTATATTTATTATTTTCTTTTATTTCTAAAAATTTTGGATGCTTTTCTGACCGCAGGTCACTGAAGAACAGCTTGCTGCACTGTTTCTTAACTGTGGCCAGGTGAACAGCCAAAAACTATTACATTAATACTTGGTGCCGTTTGGTAAGGTTTATTTGGCTGAATGAGTGAATTTACAGGAAAGAAAAGTGTTTGGTAAGTTCCGATTCAGCCAAATAAGTTAGTCAAAAGCCTTTTTTGCTTATCTGAGTTTCTTGCCTATTCTGCTGATAATCAGAAACTAGGCTACCAAATGTGTCATAATTGACTTGTATTAATCACCTAATTGGACTTTCCTTTTGATATTATTTAATTATTGGTTGATTAACTTATAAGGTTGTTGATTGCCGTATCTGTGGTGATCCAAACTCAGTGCTCCGGTTTGCATTCGTGGAGTTTACTGATGAAGGTTGGGCTGACAATTGCTTGTGTAAATGTTGTACTAAGACTAAACTGTGTATGGTAGGTATTAACATTCCCTTCATTTTACCTTTTGTGCAGAGGGAGCAAGAAATGCTTTGAGTCTGGCAGGGACTATGCTTGGCTACTATCCCGTGAGAGTGCTTCCCTCCAAAACTGCAATTGCACCCGTTAACCCCACATTTCTTCCACAGGTTTGAATCCTTTCTTTACTTTGGTAACTTCTTTTTAGGTTTTGTTTAGATGCAAGGTTTTGAAAGGGTATGTCTGTTTCTTGATTTAGGTATTTGATTTGGTTTTAAGGAATAACGTAGTAAGAGATCATATAGCACTTCAATCACCCTTTATTCAATTTTCAATAAGCATTTTAGTGTTCAAGAATCAAGATGTAGATGAACCTCTCCAAAACTCTTCATCAAACTGGGCCTTTGTACTTCCGTTGATATTTATGGTCATGAAAAAGGGATGCTAGCGACTTATGCTAATTCATTGTCTGTTGCATTTTCTTCTGGCATGCAGTCAGAAGATGAGAGAGAAATGTGTGCAAGAACTATATATTGCACAAATATTGATAAGAAGGTAAGTCTAGTTTTCTTTTCTTTGTTTCATTATTTTAAATGAGTTATGAGCAGTCATTAGATTAATCTTAAAAGGTTTTTATTCTAATAACAGGTTACTCATTTGGATGTCAAGCTCTTCTTTGAAACCATATGTGGAGAGGTTATAGCTAGCTTGTGTGAAATACTCATCACATTTTTTGTCTGGACTTGAAGAGCTAATTCAGTTATGATGATTTATATTTGAATATATACAGGTTCTCCGCCTGAGGCTGCTTGGTGACCATAATCATTCAACTCGCATAGCCTTTGTTGAGTTTGTAATGGTGAGTTGGTTTCTGTGCTGGTCCTTGACTCGTTGCATCTGATCATGTTGATAACTTGGTAGTTGGTATTAAATATTCTAATTTGAAATATTTGTGAAGGGGGGATCAAAGGAAATTTACTTTTTATGTTAGCTTGTTAACTTGGAAACTATAAATGACAATCAAGTTTGATTTTAGATTTTAAACCTGACATATACTTATTATCTTAGAATTTATATATTAGAATTACATAAATGAAATGACTCAAATGAGCTTGAATTATTTTTATATTTGCCCAGATATTAATTCCTTCTAAAGTTTCCTTCTATTTTATCCCTTATATTCTTCCTGTAGCTTTTTCTGGGTTCCAGTCTTTCAGACAACTCTTAAATATATTTTATTGTGTTACTTATAGTGTATTATTTTGTCCACTTATCTTTCTGTTCATGTACTACAAAATTAAAAAACTTAATCTGAAATCAATAGGATTGTGTTAGAATATGGTACCTTAAAAGTTTTTTCGATCAAGTCTCCTACGTGAGTGTAACTTCTTGCAATCAGTAATATTCTCCTGAATTTTTTAAATATTGTGTATTGACTATAGGCATAAGGATACTAGAGTGTCATGTGGATTTTTGAATGGGTAAAGTTGTAGGTGAGCCCTAAAACATTTTAAATTAAAATTGAGTTTCAGTCGGGTTATCCAAGCATGTTTTAGCTTAGTTGCTTAGTGGTATGGGTTTTATTGGCATATATAATAGTTGAATGATTCTCAACAACTATGTCACAGTTTGGTGACTTGATAAAAACTTATATCTGAAACTCCCCACTGTCAGCTTATTGTTTTGACTTTTCAAATTCAAGCTTGCCATGTTTGACCACTATAATTTGAATACACTCCCCCTGTTGGTCTTCCCAAATGTTCTTCTGACTGTTCGTCCCAAAAGGTTCTTTATGGGATATGACTTTGTTGTTTATATTGATTCTTTATGTTTAAATGGATTTCATTCACACTACTTTATCCCTGAAAACTGTGTAGAAAGTGAAGGACATTATCAGATGCAAGAAGCATATAATAGTATAAATAATTGTAATAAATGACTTTAGAAGGTTTAGTACAAATTGCTCAATAGTATTTCCTTAATATAAAATGGTTCTCCTAGTAAAACAAATTGCTCAATAGTATTTCCTTAATATACTTTGTATTCCCAAATGGTTCTCCCATTTCTCCTCTTTGATCAAAGTTATTTTTGTTCTCATAGGCGGACAGTGCAATTGCTGCTTTAAACTGCAGTGGTGCAGTCTTGGGAACACTTCCAATAAGGTGAGTATAGCTCAATCCACTCGTTATTTACATGAAAAACAAAACATTTCATCAAATGTGGATTTTTATTTTATTTTTTGTTTTGAATATTCCTTTTAAATTTTCTGAATTTCAGGGTAAGTCCATCAAAGACACCTGTTCGACCACGTGCACCCCGATCAACTGCAATGCACTGATCTTTATATCAATATATCGTCGTAGTCACTGCTTTTGAAGCTTTCATTGCTCTGGGAGCTGTCACGTTTATCTATATCGTTCATATATATCTAAATGCACATAGATACACTGCAACCCTTTGTTTATCTATATATAGTTTTACTTCGATTATCCACCCAGCTTACGCTCTTGGGTTTTATGTAAAGCCGGCCAACTGAGAAGGGGGGGATTTATATCCGCCCGCTCCGTTTGAGTTTGTAGAGTTGTCATGAGGCTTACTTATGGTACTATTTATACATTGGCCAGTAATGCTTAAACTCTTTGGGCAATGCCCACCAAAGTACTGATGAGTGATGCTAGTTCATGTTTGGCTTACATTATATACTTTTGGAGCAATACACTTTGTTTTTAGTTTTTTCTTTTTAGAGTATTGAATTGAATTTACCATAAGGTTTGAACAGAAGCGCTCAGGGCTTTTGCTTGGTAAGTTGGTCACAGACTCGGCTATGAAATGGAACCACCGGAGTTATAAATGGCTGCCAGTCAGTCAACTATGGGAGGGCTATGGGCTGTATGGGGTAGGGATGGATTTAAAATAATTTTAAATCACAGATTACAGAATTAAAAACAATTAGTTTGTACTAGGGATGGATTGGGCCCGGTACCGGCTTGGACCGCCATTGTGCAATACTGGCCTGACCTGGCTGGCTGGGACCGGGCCTTGGGCCCGAACGGGGGGGGGGGGGGGGGGTTACGGGCTGGGTTTTTTATGGACCGGCTTGGCCCCGGAACCTACCCGCCTACATTTCCAATTCCCGGTCTTGACCTGGACCCGGGCCTGGTTCATCCCTAGTTTGTACTCCGTGCTTCATCATATAATCTAATATAGAACAGAATGGCTGTTTATTTAAAATCGTTAAGTTTAGTCCTTTCTTTTAAAAACAATCGTTAAGTTTGGTACATACAAATGATATTTAATTGGGAAAGTTCTCGAAATGGGACTAAAAAAGTTCGAAAATTCTAAAATAGGACTGTCATGTTTTTATTTCCAAAATAAGACTAATTACTGTCAAATTTGGAAAATACTGTCATGTTTGAAGTCTTGTACTGCCAAAACATGTCAGTAATTAGTCCTATTTTGGGAATAAAAACATGGAAGCCCTATTTTGGAATTTTCAAACCTTTTTAGTCCCATTTTGGGTAATATCTCTATTTAATTTAATACATGTTGACTGTTGAGGTTAAGTCCCTCAGATCCAAAAGTCCAACACCAACTTTGGGATATTAAGGACGCTGGTTACACGTGAAAGTGTTTAAAATATAAAATGTAATTAGAATTCACTCAAAAGCCTGTTCGTATTGGAGTAATAACGCTGATTACACAAAAGAGGTCGAATGACGCTTTCAGAATAGTGGCTAATACAAGAACTAGAGAGATAATCTAAGGCTTCTGAGCCTCAAAATGATAATAACTCTTTACAATGAAGTTAATGCGCCTATTTATACTAGATGGGGGGTAGGTGGGGTGATGATGTGGTCGAATCCGGTTGGTTGCTCTCATGGCCACTTGTGCACTCATGCCCCCACTTGCTACCGCCATACTCTAGCATTTAATGCGGTTTGCCACTTGCGGACTCCCCGACCGGTCTCCGGACGCAGGCTAATGGACAGAGCTAATATCTGTTATTTGTTCCAAGCATGATAATTGGGCCGTTCGGGTCATTCCGAACGGTGTCGCCTTTGATGGTTGATCACCCGTTCGGGGTCCCCTAAGTTTGGACCAGGTTACCCTTTGGGCTTGCTCTCTCTCTCTTGGGCTCTTAGCTATTCTGGACCGGGTATTGGGCCGGAGCCTAATATCCCAACAATACATATTCAGTTGTTTGGTTTTGAAAATTATTTTGAAATACAAAAATAACATTAGCCGACTTTAGAACCATTTTAGATTATGTCTTTGACATTGTTATTGTTGTACTAAGTTTGTGCGCGTATGAGTGTATGACTGTTAACTTGCAAATAGCATAAGTGACACTTTAAATTAAATCATAAAGAATTAAGTTTTGCCTTTTTCTATAAAGGAATCTTTTTTATTAGAATGTAAAATAATACATATATAGAATTGATGTAATGATTTATATATTGTATTTTTTATATAATATTTTTTACTTTTAACCACTTTTGCTAGTTTTTTGTTGTCGAAAAAATTACACTTCAATTGCGAGATCAAACAATATTATTGTCTAATGTTTTACCTATGAAATTTTTTGAACACCTAGATTGTAAGATCCGCCATTGATTAGTATGATATTTCAAATGATTTATTATTTTAATATAACCAAACAGAAAATTTATATGTAGTACATATTTGTAGAGTTCACTCTGTAGTATTCTGAAGTTTTGAATGCTTATCTTCCTTTGAAATTATAAATCATGGTAAGAATACATCACATGACGACCATTACAGTTAAGGTTAATCAAATTCGTTTATTTAACTAAACTCTTTGATAAGTACTCCGTATTAAACTTTTAGATATTGTAACATAAATACAAATAGTCATTACATATGTTCTTAAAAATGTTTCTGCTCCTTCAGGAGTAGAAGCGGATATGGAAGTGTCTGAGGAAAAGTGCAGAAGTGCTTCTGAGTGCTACAAATTGTTCATAGAAACAGTTTTTTAGAAACTCAGAAAAACCACATGTTCAATAATTGATTCTATTTCAACTTCTACTTTAAAAAAACAGAAGTAGAATCAATTCCAAACACCCCTTTACTCGTTTGAGAACTGCGACTTCATCCCACCAGTCGAAAAGGAAGGTATACGAGATGAAATGGGATCAGTTTCACTCTTCCTTGAAGCTTGAAAGTAAAAGAGTCTTGTATTTAGGATGTTTTTACTTGGACTTCAATTTGTCCCAGACCAGACTATAATTTGTACCAAACCAGATCAGATCAAACCAAACCAAACCAGCTAATTATAGTTCAAGTAAAAACATGCTCACACTACAATTTTAACTTACAAATTTAATAATCAAGTGAGTGGTGCACCCATGACCTTAAATTAGGAGTGTCGGACTAGATCCATACAAAGAATCTTTATAGATGATTTTTTAAATCATTTATTGTTCATAAATTCAAAACATTATTCAAATTATTAATTTGGGGTGTATTCAAATTAGGATGTGTAATGTTTTACAATTTTAAGCATGTTCTGTGATTTAGTATTGGTCTATTACGTTTTAATTCATCATAAAACAATGGCAAATTATACCGTGCAACCGGCATACCATGCGCATGGTATGCCGGTGCCGTTTTCCGTTTCGTTATGCGCATGATATACCAACGTTCCTTTTTCTTCTTTTCTGTTTTCTTTCTTCTTATTTTTCTCTTCCACTTTCTTTAATTCTTTTCTCTTTAAAATCAAATAATAAAAATTTATTTGTGATTTTACTTATCTTTATCTTTAACTAATTAAAATATAAATGAATTTACATTTTTTTCTTTACCAAATTATTACAAAATCTTATTAATCCACATAAAATAAGTGTATTGTAATACATTTTAAATTTTATTAATCCACATAAAAAGCATATTTTATTAATCCACATAATAATTGAATCTATTTTTTTATTCTCTATAAATGCATAACAAAAAGTTTATACATCTAAATAAAATAAGTATATTCCATCATTCAGTTCCTAGACAATGAAATCACATCTTCTTCTGCGCAAGTTACATCTTCATGTACGCGAGTTACATCTAAATATATGTATATATATGTGTGAGTTACATTTTAATGTATGCGAGTTACACCACTGAATAAACTCCAACTATATCATTTTTATTGCCCTAATATTAAAAATAAAACATATTCACTATTTATAAAAAGTAATTAAGCTATTAGGATCAATTTTTCATTGTTTACATTGAAATCAATGTTTATAATATCTCAAACACAAAAAAATCATTTTTTAACTTTCCAACAAGTTACATTCTGTATACACCTAAGTTACATTTGGCATCAACGCGAGTTACATTTGTAATAACACGAGTTACATTAAAAAATCAACCCCTGCTATTGAAACAAAAAATGATCTTTTCTAAAAAAAAATATAGCCATGATATTAAAAACAAAACATATTCACGTTTTGCCTAAAACAATTGTGCAATTAGACTCTCTTTTCATTATTTACATTGAAATCAATATTTGACAAGTTACATTTTGGATAGGCTTGAGTTACATTGATCAATAATGCAAGTTACATATCTTTACACGCGAGTTATACCATAAATGTTACTGGGACAAAAAAAGTTAGTGTACACGCGTGTACTGTTCATGCGAATTTTTTTTTTAAATTGTCCAAAACTACATCGTTTTGGGAGTGGGAGTACGGTGTTCATGGTGGGACAGTTGTATGTATACGAACTGTAAAACAACGAAGTGATTGCATAAAGTGTCAATAAGAACGAACTTTAACTTCTAAGTTTAATCTTCTCACATGACTCTTTTGAACGTTTCAGTTAAAGCTTCTCATTTTAATATTAGAAAACAATTAATACATTTAATTAAATGATAATTTAATCATCAGATATTAAAAATAATACTCCATAAACCTATTGCACTACAACTATTAGTAATGGTCTCATTATATATAGGGAATTTTTCAGAAATATACCAAAAAGTAAAAATAATATCACTTTTATCACTTTTGGATTTCCTTTTCAAAAATAGTCTAGTTGAAAGTTTCTTTTCACAAATAGTCTGCCTTTATGAAGCGCCCCTACGGACTACACCAGTGCATTATGAACGTAACGTTACAATATTGCACCTGCTTTCTTAAACTAATACTTCGTAGAAAGTGCATGCTATTCATTATTAGATTTTTAAATAGAAAATTTTGTAAAATAATATTAGACGTAGGAAAGCAATTATAAAAATAACCAAATTCCAAAAACTAATAATAAATTTCAAAAAGATAAAAAAAACTCAAATTCAAAAAAAATATTATTTAAAAAAATGAATACTAAAAAAGAAAATTGAAAACTTGTAATTTATTTTTTAAAAATAAAAATAAAAAGAATTCAAATTTAGAAGTAAATTCTGAAAAAATCACAATGTACAGAAAAATAGAAATTAAAAAATATGTAGTACATGGTACGGTTTTGTAATGCAGTTTTTGAAAACAGTTTATATAATTTATATAAAAATTTAAAAATCACAAAATATCGAATTTTTTATGAAATATAAAATTAAAATAAAATATAAAATATAAAAAATGTAATTATTAAAAAAACTTAAAATTCAAAAAACTGTAATGAAAAATAATAATAAATGATACTCAAAAAAGTTTAGGAAAACTAAAAAAGGTGTATAAAAAATTTATAATAATAGTTATAGACTTATAGAAGTTTATTGTTATTTATTTAGGCTAAACTTTTTAATGTTATTTTTTTGTTGCTCATTGTTTCATTTTGTTGATAACTCTGATTTTTTTGTTTTTTTTTGTTTTTTGTTGTTTCTTTAGGTTCCGTGTATTTGTTGACATCTAAGAAGTCCAATTTGTCTATTTTGTTGACACACACATATACCACGTATGTAGTTCATATTTCAAAGAGGTAACAAAAATAAATAGAAAATGTAAATAAACAACAAATATCAGATTCTTCAACAAGAAACATAATACAACAAAAAACAACAAGATGAAACAAAAAGCAACACATATGGTACAACAAAAAATCCATCATTTAGTCTCTCTTGTCTTCATTCTATTGATAGTCTCCTTAGTCATTTTAACATCTCCGTGTACTTCTATTATGAACCTGCAATAAGAATACAGAAAAATCTCAAACCAAGTATTACAATGAAACAATCCACCTATAGAAATTATAGGTACATTAAAATGTATCCACTGCACACATCAAATTATATCCACAAGTAGCCGGCATCCAAATAAGCAAACCAAAAAAAACAGTATCTCCCTAGATTTCTATACAATTACCCCAACTCCCTAAAGCTCCCACAATGTATATACTACGTTTAGATTTTTAAAACCCCTAATGCCACCAATACAAGTAGCAGGACCAGTATCTAAATGTAAATCTATATTTTTGTTGCCACCTAAACAACCAACAGTTAATATCATCAATGACATAAAACATTTTAAAGATAAAATATTGATAATAACATATATGCTCATTAAAGTAAAACAACTTAATTAATTACTGATAATCAGCAGCAACACTTGTGTTATAAAGATCATGAGGCATAAACTTCTTACCTCATGTAGCCATTACACCCTTGTCATTGACAACCATTGCATTGATAATTGTTTTCTACTGGGAACTGTAATAACCAGACAATGCAATATTAGAAGATGACATTACTTGTTAGGAGTGCACACATGTTATGAAAATTAGGCCTTAATTAACCTGAAGCTTACTGCATGTTCTACAAAAACTCTCCTTTGGGAGTTTGAATTATTTTATGTTGTCACCAGAGGCAGAGGCAAAAGCTTCCCTGTAGAATAGATAAATAGACAGGTATCAGTTATGTGAAAGCCCTGAATTGAGGAACTATGTGGCACCATAAGGATGTTTATGGTTGAAAGGGTAAAAATAAGTGCTTATTGAAAGCTGGGAGGCAAGCTGAAATTTATCATCCGGCAAACTATAAACAAATAAAAAAATCAAACACATTAATGCTCATATTAATACACACCACGAATTTGTATAATATGCTTCATAGACAAATCTCACGAGTGCAAATAAACAAATAATCACTAAAATAAATCAGATTAATTAAAATTTTAATACTCACGTATTAAAAGCTGTAGCAGACACAATTAGGAGTAATTGACTAATAAAAATACTCCGCAAATAACTGCACATTTCATCTTCTTAAGATCGGATATCTGTCTCTATGACTAACCATTGCTTTCAACAACACATATTCGATTTTTATAATTGTATACATAACCAAGTATTCACGAATTGGTATGTACCTCAATTTTGTTCATAGAGAACATCATCAAACGTATTCCTTCAAGCATAGTAATTGAACTTTCTTATTGTTCATCCACTTCGATCGTGTCTTCCGCGAAAGGTAATCAGGACCGTTGAGGAGTTAAAGCAAGGATCAGATCTGGCACCGTCTGAATTTGAGCTCCTTCTACGAGCGAGTGCCAGCCTTAGGTGATTTGTAGAAGAGAAGGAGAAGATTTAGATTGCCAAGGAACTGGAGATAGCAACGCTCGAAACTTATTGTAGACGAAGAGAGAATATTTAGCTTAGCCGAGGAAATTTGAAAAGGTTAAGAGGAATTGCAGAGATAGGATGAAGATTGAAGAGTGCGGCTACGATAGTTTAGGGTTAGACCACTTTTGAAATTAAAAAGATAAAAGTGATAAAGTAAAAGTTTAGAATTGAAAAAAAAGAAGTCGGGCGACATAAATGAAACTCAATGGGTTAAAGTGGTTCAAAGGGGTAATTTCCACTTATATATATTATGTATCCGTAAAAAAAATCACAATAAACTCGAATAATTTTAGTTAATTATTATTAAAATATACGTGTCATTTTTTAATTAGAATATTAAATTGGGACAAGGTAGTAACATTCTTTTTGTCATTTAGACTTATTTCAGTTTTGTGTTACTAAAACCTCTACTAACGCCCATATTCACTTCTCCTGAAAATATGAAGTTAATTACTCTTCTTAATTCCCATAACTGTCTGTGTATATGCCTTTGATAACATTGAGTTGCAAAAGTTTTGGATGTTTAATGTACGTTTTTCAAAATTGGTACAATGTACTACGGTCTACGAAGTGTTTTTGTACTCCGTATAAGATAGTACGTAATACACAACACACACAAATCCCGGTTTTTTGTAAATCAATTTGTAGTCGTGGGGAAATTTGTTTAAAATTTAAAAAATGAACAGTCGTAAAAGTCTTACAAAAAATTGTCCTATAGTTAATGTTTATACTCTTTTTTGAACGTTTGCACTCTGTGATGTGAACTAAAATATAATAGGTCTCGTTTCGAAAAGTTTTACTCAATTTATCATTTTAATAAGACTAAGGGGCTGTTTACTTGTGACTTAATGGACTTAATAGGAATTGCGACTTAATGATTCAGGTATATATTGATGTTTACTTCCGACTTTATTAAAATTATGACTTATTCGCTCAGTCATTTCTTGACTTATTCGCTCAGCCCTGTTTTAGTACTCCTTACCGTTCAGACGCATAAATTGATTGACGATCTCTATTTTATCCCCGTTCTGCCGCGTAGGGGGTTCCATGTGCAATTTACATCCTATTCTTTTTCTCCTGTCAAGAAATCAGCAAAAACACCAGCGAAGAAAGCTTCCATGGCCACTCATCTTCATTCTCGGATATTTTGTTGAATTATTAAGTTTTGGTTGTTTGTTCGAAATTGTTTGTTAGAATAGAAAATTCTGATTTTTGTTGCTGTAAACCCAAATTTTTATGAAAGCAGAAGCAAATATTACGTAGTATACCCTTAACCCTGACCGAGTTTTTTCAATAGTTGCATCTTTCAAGCTGTCATCGGAACCTAAAGCTTCTCTGGTGTGGTGACGGCCACTGTTTCTTCACATATGGCGCATATAAACTTTTTGGTCCATTCATTTCCTTGCAACATCAATTGTTGAATCTTAATTGAAATTTTGGGTGCTTCTTAAACTTGTCTTGAATGATAAAGGAGGAGCAATTGCTATACGAGTATCTCATTTGGTTGCTTCCTCAAATGTATTTTTTGCATTTCTGGTGCAGATTTTCTTCATTTTTTTTGGTAATTTCTTGATTTGTAAACCAACACTCTTCATTTTTAAGTAAATAATAAGCACTTATGTAATTGCTATACGAGTATCTCATTTGGTTGCTTCCTCAAATGTATTTTTTGCATTTCTGGTGCAGATTTTCTTCATTTTTTTTGGTAATTTCTTGATTTGTAAACCAACACTCTTCATTTTTAAGTAAATAATAAGCACTTATGATTTCTAAAATCGTTAAATTGGGCGATTTGCCGAATGTTGATGTTTAAACAGCCCAAAGATGGGTAAATTAGTAATTTGAAATAATTCAGACCACACATTCAGCACTCAAAGTAAACATATCGTTTTCTTAGTGTCAGACGTCTTTATCCAGTCAGACGTCTTTATCCAGACAGAACTTAATGAAAAAAAATAGTAAACAGCCCCTAAGTAAGTCAACATAACTGATCATATTTTTACTTGTGTCTATTTTAGTTTATAAATATAATTATTATAAATAAAAAGTTAAAACATCTTTTCATGCTTAAGTTTTTGCCCATTCCTGTCCAAACATAACCTCTTGCACACTTCACATTTTCAAACACTTCACTTAGGCTTGACCTAAGTGCAACAAAATACTTAGAGGGGCACCTATGAAATGCCCGTTTCTGTAAAACAATGTTTAAGTACGATATAATTTGTTATTGGCATCAGTGACATTGATTCATTCTAATTTGTTATTAATACGATACACTCCAAATTGGATGAAACAAAAACGAAGTATACAAATGTACTCCGTAATACGAGTAATTATGATTAAGTTGAAGGATGAAGTATGGGAATGAAGGATGTTTTCTTCACAAACCTTGACCACGCTCAACAACAATTCGAGTATTTCACTCCTTTGCAATTACAAAACTGCGACTAGAAAAGTTTAAATTTTCAAATTGTAATAAAAAAGTATGGCGTGACATTTAACTTATGATGACTCACATACACACAAAATACTCAAAACAGAGTTCAAGCAACCATCAAGTTGCAATACAGAAAACTCTTCACTTGATCTCAACATCAATGACCTTCTTCTCCACCTTCGTCTTCGGGATGGAGACGAAAAGGACCCCATTCTTCAATTCCGCCTTCACCTTATCCTTGTCACAGCTTTCTGGCAGCTGAAGACGCGTGTCGTACGAGCTGTAACTCTTCGACCACGAATCGTCCTTTCCACCATCATCCTTCCTCTGTTCTCCCTTGATCACCAGAACGTCGTCTTCCACAGACACCTTCACCTCTTCCTTGGAGAGCCCAGGCATGTCGAACCGCATCTTAATCTCTTGTTCCTCGTCTCTGATGTCCCATGGGGCCCGCAGTTCTCCGGTTGATCCGGTTCTCCCCGGGAACGCCAGGACGTCGTCGAATATCCTGTCCATCGTGTCCAGCATTTGGCGCATTGTTCTCATTGGTGACAGAGGATCTAGAAGACCTGTTCGTAGCAATCCAAGACGAATAATCAAAAATTGAGTCCACATAAATGAAATTTCAGCACTAAATGTAATCACGAATAGATCGTTGACTCACCGAACGGGGAAGCATCGAGGGCGGACACCCGGCGAGGCCGGCGCTCGACAGCGCGGTTGCCGTCGTTGGTGCTGACGGCGGAGGAGCCACCTTGATTGCTGCTTACGCGATGCACGTCGACGGAGGTGTCCTGGCTCTGATCTCCACCGGAGGACTGAGCTATGAGTTTGAACGGCCTTCTAACACCGCGGGAAGAAGGGAGTGAGACGGAGCAGGGACGGAATGTAGAGAATTTGGGGGTTTTGATGGAAACGGAGGGTTTTGATGCGACCAAGCAGGAAGCAGAGCATGGTAGAGTATTGGTAGCCATTGAAGTAATTAGGGATTGATTTGAAGCTAGTTCGCTGATTTAAGCTGAGTTTTACTGAGATGGGAATGGGAGGGAGAATGGGTATGGCTTTATAGGGAATTAAGAGAAGGTACGAGAGAAATCTTGAACGTGGGAGTTTGAAGGAGAAACCGAAGTCCCTGTTCGACCCGCAGTCGCTTCTCCTATCTTCTCGAAACGTCCTTCTAGTAGTGTCTTTATAGACAGTGTTTCGCTCAAGCTTCTTAAGTATACTCCCTTCTACACTCTTTTTACATACTCATTCCCTCTTTTAACCAGAATTCCATTTTCTTGGCAAAAAAAAAAAACTTAATTATTAATGATAAAAGCAACAAAAGATAAATAATACTGTATAGTAATTCGATGTTACATTGGGATGAGATAAACTTATTTATGTAGTGTGAAAATATTTTTATTATGTTTTATGAAAAACATTGAATACTAAATTAAATTATTAGTAGAAACTAGACTAAACACTTTACTAGTTGGGATTATTCTTGCGAACTTTTCAAGTATGGATTATTTTTGTAAAATGTGTAAATGTAGGAATTATTGGTGTCAATTTTGTCAATTAATAACGGTTTCTTAACGGTTCCGTTGACATATTTTTTTTGTAGATAGAGCCATTTTTAGGGGGTTAATTAGGTTATCCAAAACAGGGCCCCCGGATTTATGGGGACCCAGTTTTTTAAAAATTTATTTGTATTATATAGTAATATTATATACGGAGTATTAAAATACAGTTAGTAAAGAAGAAAAATACAGACCCATCATTTTTTGTTGATCCTTTTAGTTCTCTTTTATTCAAATTGCTTTGATAATGAATTGCGTTAATCTAAATCAAGTATTATGTAAGTTTTAGAAAAAAATTACATTATAAAATGAGTATGCAATTGATTTGAAGATAAGTATTTAGATTGAGATTTTTTTAAAAAATTTTACATTAATGTGGGGTCTCGATTTTATGTTTGGAATCAGGGCCTCCAATTCATTAGACGGTCTTGAATTGTAGAAACCAGGAATCGAACCGTTAACAGACAATAAGAATCGAACCGTTAACAAATTATAACTTATGCGTAGAAATCGAACCGAACCGGATTTTAAATGATTCGGTTCCAACAGTTTTGGTTGGTCCGAAAATCCCACCCCTATTCCACACGGACCACACTCGTCTTTTTTTAATGACGTTGAATTTGGTATAACATTGAATTTGGTTTTATTGGTAAGCATCATATTTGTGCTTGTAGGAATACTCTAATTTCAATTGGTTTCTTAACCTATGGTGAAGTGGTGAACACATATGGTGAGCCGGTGAGGTACACAAATAGGTACTCAAATAAACTACAACATACAAGCACAACAATACAACATTTTTAAAATATTTTTGTGCTCTTAAACAGATCTAATAATTTTGTGCTCTTAAACAATATTTTAAAAATGTTTTTTTAGGACTAATTAAATAATTGAAATAATAAAAAAAAAACTTACTCGGAATATATATAAAGAAAAAAATTATTAGATCTGTTTAAGAGCACAAAAATATTTTAGAAATGTTGTATTTTTAAATAATTGAAATTATAAAAAAAAACTTTTTTTAGGACTAATTAAATAATTGAAATTATAAAAATAAAAAAAACTTACTCAGAATATATATAAAGAAAAAAAATTTGGACCTAATTTCCTTTCTACTTTTTTTCGGGTCTAGGGCGGTCGCCCCTGCTGCCCTCCCCTTAGGACCTGCTATGCAACCACCCTCATTCTCTCCTTATATTCACTCCGTTTTTTTCTGCTAATAATAATAATTCTAATAATAATGCTAAAATATCAAATTTATCGTAATATAATTCGTACTACGATTCTAATTCTTAAAAATTATGAACATATCAAGTCTCCAGTTTGGTATTTCTAATTCTTAAAAATTCAACCGCTACAATTTAATTGTAACGTAATTCAGGGTTTTCTTTTTCATTACTATATACTAGTATAGTACCCGTGCATACGCACGGGAAATAGCAGTTGGTCCATATATTTTACTCATTATATAAATAAATATTAATATAAGAAATAACTTCTTAGATTATGCATTTTTGAAAAATAAGGTTACAATGAATATTATATAAGCCATAAAATAAATATTCAATGAAAAGTATATAAACGAAAATTAATTGACAACACTCATTAGAATTTGCTACCTATTACTTTTTATGATTAAAATTAATTTTAAAATTAAATAATATTCTAAAAAAGTGTGTACAATAACTGCATGACATAAAGTTTAAGTGAATACAATAAATATTAAAATTAAAAAATATTAGTTAAATAAGAACTTGTTAATCATTAGTTAAATTAGTGCTATCATATAAGAGAGAAAATTGTTCTCGCTCAATTGTTAGTCGACATATCTTTTAACACCTAAAAGCAATATGTATGAGAGAGATAATTTCATTTAGACCCTGGCTGAATATATTATACGGAGTATGTACTACATAGTTCATTTAGATGTATAAAAGTAAAGTGTTGAGTTATAAGTTAATTTTTTGGGATCATAATCAAACGTAAAGCATTACATGGAATATATGCTTAACAGGAAAAGATAGAGATTAGAGAACAAAATAGAGAAATATTCTTTGAAGTAAAACTGAGGAAAGTACAAAAACCAATTATGTTAACTGTTAAGGGTAGGATAACAATTAAAACTAATGAAAAAAAGGAAAAGGGGCAAAAAACCCCTCCAAGTTGTCCCCAAAGGGCATCTAAGCCCTTAAACTATTTTTGTGTGCAAAAAAGCTTATAAATCAATAAAAGGAGGGCAATCACCCCCTTAATAACGGTGAGCAGTTAACGGAAGTGTTTCCTTACTTCCTTTGGGTATTATGACCGTATGTCCGTATGTAGCATAATTTTTTACTATGTATATTTTTTCTTTTAATTTAGCTTGGTCCTACAACGAGGACATATTTGCTCTCTTTTTGAAAATGTTAGATGTTGAATTTTAAAATATTCACATGCTATATTTAACTATACTTTCTTTATTAATGTAGTGAGAATTTATTATTTTTAAAAATATTTTTAAATTTGTCTCATTGTAAATTTTTTTTTGTTTTTTATTTCTAGAGAATTATACTCGCTTCGTCTCTGGATTAATTTTTCAAATATCCTTTTTTGTTTGTCTCAAAATAATCTTTTCTTTTGCAAATAATTTATGGTTCACAATATGTTTTACACATTCTTACACCTTCTTCGCTCTTCAGTATAACGCTCTACCATACAATTTCGCTTTTTTCATTCCCGTGCAAAACCAACTTTGGAAGATAATTCAGGGACGAATGGAGTATATATTACTACGTAATAGTCAAAGTTATGGGAAAAAATATTAATTATCAAAGTTATGCAATAACAAATATGAAATGTGAACTTTGATACTTATTTTAAAACGGGAGAAGTATTATGCGGTTGTCAATTTATCATGATTAACAAATGCAAGATATCCATTAAAAACAAATACACTACAAATTAATTGGTTTAGTGATAATCCAGTGAACCCAATAAACGTGATAGCACTTGTGCTGTGATAAGATATTTTCACTAAATTCTTACTCATCTGTCCCACTATATTTGTGACAATTCGGTTTACGATGCTTGACCGACAGTAAAGCAAACAAATTCATGTCTTCAATCAAATTTGTTTAGAAAAAAATTACATAATCAGAAACTACATTAAAAACTTTACAAAGTCGCAAAATCAGAATCAAATTTGATAAAAAAAATTAATATATAAAGTAACAAATTAAGAGTGATTTGTGTTGATCAAGTGAATAGTATCTGGGACAATCTTAGCGGGATGGAGGGAGTAATATTTTATTTGTTTCTTTTTTCTTTTTTTACTTCAAAGGGCATCTGGGGGGGGCTGGGGGGCCTGGAGTAATTGGGGCTGAAACTCATTCTATTGAGTTTCGGACCCGAGACCTCCCGTAAGGGAGAGTGAGTCGGCGACCAGCTCGGTTGGACCGCTTCCTCATTCTTAATATTCCATATATTTTTAAAAACCGAATAAAATCGAATCGAACTAAAAAATCAATAAATTCTTATTGTATTTTTAAAACGTGACAAGTTCAAACCGAATCAAACTGAAGTATAGTATGTTTTTTCTTGGGTCACGGACTCACGGACATAGGCACAACCGCATCATGTGTGTTTTCGAATAACGGAGGAATTGACAACTCTGTAATACTTTGTAATACTTCGTAATACTTCTCCCGTTCTTAAATAAGTGTCAAAGTTCACATTTCATATTTATTAATGCATAACTGTGACCATAATTATATACTCCATTTATCCATGAATTATCTTCCAAAGTTGCTTTTGCACGAGAATGGAGAAAAGAAAAATTGGGTAGTGGAGATTGTACTGGAAACATGTAACAATGTGTAAAATATGTTTTGAACCACAATTTATGTTGCATTTTTTTAGACTGACGAAAACGGAAATTTGAAAATTAATTCAAGGACGGAGCAAGTGTAATTCTCTATTAATCAAAACATAAAAGAAATTGTAAATTTATAATGAGACAGATTTAATTTTTTTTAAAAAATCATTGATACATTAATAAATAAAACGTAGTTAAAGTAGAACATGTGAATATTGTAAAATTCAGCATGTTGCACTTATTTAAAAAGAGATGACATATGTCATAATTTTAGGACCAAAATATTCTAGATTTACTTCTTTAATAGAGGACAAACTGAAATTAAAAGAAAAAAATATAAAAAATATTGTCAGATTAAAATTGTGCAACATACGGTTAAAATGACCAAAGGAACAACTTGGAACAACTTCCGTTAACTGCTTCAGCGTTAGTAAAGGGCTGGTTGCTCTCCTTTCACTGATTTTGAGGCTTTTTGCACAAAAAATAGTTTAAGGGCTTAGATGCCCTTTGGTGACAACTTGGAGGGACTTTTTGCCCCTTTTCCCATGAAAAAACAGCTTTATTGGGTTAATAATGGAATCTCAAATTCACAATATGACGGGAAAGATTGAGGGAATTCTTTGACGAAAACTTCAAAACTCGAGCAAGGAAAAATGTTGAGAGTGGGATTTGAACCCACGCCCTTTCGGACCAGAACCTTAATCTGGCGCCTTAGACCAACTCGGCCATCTCAACTTGTTGGGGGTAACTTATCGTACGCTGTATAAGACGTGTATTTTGAGAATGCTATGAGACATTGAGACCAATGAAAGGCTGAAAGCATTGTAGCATAGGGGTGGGACTTGGAACCGTAAAACCGGAAAACCGAACCGAACCGAACCGAAATCTCCGGTTCGGTTCGGTTCCTATAGTTTTGGACTTGAGCTTTTTTCGGTTCGGTTCCTATAGTATTTCATCGGTTCGGTTCCGGTTCGGTTCCAGTTCGGTTCCGGTTCCTAGCCAGGAACCGAACTTCTTATACATTGTATGAGTAATCTTCATTTGAGGTGCTTCTGAGTGGAATTTTTTGATGAAATTTGGTGAGCATGTTTCTCATGAAATAAAGATTATGTCCACCAAATTTGAGCTTAAAATGTAATCGGGAAGTCAGTTAAATAAATTATTGAAAAACAGTACGTCAACATATATAAAAACGCAATGTTTTTCAATATTTTATTTAATTCACTTCCCGATTGAATGTTAAGCTGAAATTTGGTATATATCATCTATATTTCATGTAGAACATACTCACAAAATTTTATCAAAAAATTCTACACGGAAGAACCTCAAATGGAGATGGCCAGACGGCGTTCCGGGCCAATCCGAGTAATTATTTGTCAAGAATATTTTCTTGCATAATATACCTTATATATTGTGGACCAGACCAATCCAAGTAATTATTTGAATACTTTAGTCCACTTTTCATATTTATTTTTTGTTTGTAAATGTAAATGTATTGGAGTTCATCTAAAAAGGAATTAATATTCTATTGATTATGTTGTTTATTACTACGTACATTTTACCTATTGTGCATTACTAGTAGAAGAATATTATTTTGAGGTTGAACTACCAGCTATTAAATGTGTACTTTGGAGATATCAAACCTTTTTGCTCGACTGTTGATGCCTATTTTAAACCGAGATTTTTGTTATGTTGAAATTTAATGTTGCACTTGGATATATATATATATATATATATATATATATATATATATATATATATTTGAACATGGAGATATCATGCACGTATAATATAATGGTCATAATTTAATGATTTAAAGTTTGAATTTTTTATTTAACTGAAGGTAAAATGTGTTCATTTCAGGAGGATAGTAAAATTTTATAAGGAACCGAAAAAAGGTAAGAACCGAACCGAATTTAAGTAGAACCGAACCGAATTTAACAACCATTTTTTTTAACTAGAACCGAACCGAATTTAAATCCTACAATTTTTATACGGTTCCATCGAATTTTAACAAGAACCGAACCGATCCCAGGCCTATTGTAGCATACCCGTTCGGCGGCCGTTCGAAAGCCTTGTAGCTCACTAGCTCGTAGCAATAATTATTGCTAATAAGAAACGGTGCAATTATTAAAAAATTAAGGGAATTTCCTGTGTGAAGCTTTGTAAAATCATGGGAATTACATGTGTGAATTATTCATCCTTGTAATGAGCCTAGTCATCAAATTTCAATCCTTGTAATCAGGACACTAATCTAGTGTCAATCCTTGTAACCTAGTTAGAATAGATGGCTCTGTTTGTTATTGCCACCAAATTTGTAGAGTCATCCTTTAGATGACTAATCATCAAGATCAACTACTATAAATAGGAGCTTATAGGAGCTTGATGAAGCCTTGTAAAGCAATTCAGAGAACTCAGAAATTTCAGAGATTAAGAAAAAGTTATTCAGAGCTTATTCTGAGAAGAATTTTGAGCAGATTCGTGCTGATAACGTGTTGTGAAATGAAAAGATGAAGACTAAATTTAAGAGATAGATATGATTGTACTGAAAGAATTAAAGTAAGCGTACCGTTTAAGGCTTCATCAAGACGTTTTTCTCTTGATACATAACTCCGTCTTGTAAAATGATAGCTTAAGAATAATACTAAATGACTTAAGAGATTATACTTCATACTTGATATATAGCAACGTAGGAGATTGTGTAATGGAGTAGTAAACAAAAGAAAGATAGTGGAAGGGGTAAACCGAGTAAAGAGATAAAGGAGAAATGGTCTGAATATAAAGATGAAGTTATTGATGAAGTTAAATAAATGCAAGTCACGGATATGATTTGATAATATAAATTAAAATATTGTAATGACAAAACTAGAGTGTTGTTTTTAGGTTCTAGACTATTCAAATATCAACTAGATATTACGGATTGATACATGTGATATTAAAATGGTCAGACTTCCTGCAATAGCAAGTAGGCTATATCAGTCTGAATAAATTTGTCTTGCCTCGTATTAATAGTTAGACTCACGGGCAGTATAAAAACAAAATCGACCGTTTGGTTGAATGCTAAAAGTAAATCAAGTATATACAACACTCTTTGAATTGAAGTGGCGGAAATATGGACTACATTTTTTTTACAATATTTGAATGAATAAATATGTTTTAAAATTAAAGAGTACGTAGAAGAGAGAATATCAATTAGACAAAATAAAACTTCGTTCATACTCCCGGTAAAATACTATATTCAATTATATCATTTGATATAATCTCTATAATGTATACTAACTAAATTTAATTAAATTTTGTAGTATATTATGGCAAATATTAGTAAAAGAGAGTTCGACGTTCTTGATCTATCTGGTCAAAAATATTTGGAATGGAAAGTCGATGCTCTGGCACATCTTAAGGCTAATGGTTTAGAAGATACAATTGAAGCCAATAATCTATCATCTTCTCAAGATAAAGCGAAAGCTATCATTTTCCTCCGTCACCACCTCCATGAAAGTCTCAAATCTGAATATCTTTTGGTTGATGATCCAAAAGAATTATGGGACAATTTACAAGAGAGGTATGGCCACCAACAAAAGGTACTTTTGCCAAAAGCTCAGTATGACTGGATCAATTTAAGATTCCAGGATTTTAAATCAATCAGTGACTATAATTCTGCCATGTTCCAAATAACATCTAAACTAAAGTTATGCGGACAAAAAGTCACTGATGCTGATGTGTTGGAGAAAACCTTTTCTACAATGCATATTTCTAATATGCTGCTACAGCAGCAATATAGAGAAAAAGGTTTTAAAAAATACCCCGAATTAATATCAGTATTATTGGTAGCTGAGCAAAATAATGACCTTTTGATGAAAAATCACAATTTGAGACCCACTGGTTCTAGTCCTTCTATTTATGGTCCATCTGGCCATAATTTAGCCATTGAATCAAATGCAACACACAGTGGCAGTAGCAGACATTTTAAACGTGGGCATTTTAAGGATCATAATAACAAGTCCAACCGAGGATATAAACGGGTCGATAGACCGGATTACAAGGGCAAGGGCAAACAAAACGCCCATCAAATAAATCGCCCTACAAAAACCTCGGTGAAAATGACTTGTTACAAATGTGGCATGACGGGACACTGGGCTAACAAATGCCGTACTGCAAAGCATCTTGTGGAGTTATTTCAAGCTTCCATGAATTTAAACAAAGGCAAAAATGTGGAAGCAAATTATGTCAATGACACAACTCCATCTCTACCAAAATTTGATGTGTCCGACTTCTTCATGGATGATAGCATAATGGATGATGCATTTGTCACTGATCAAAATAACACAAAATAAATTATAAGACTTTTATGTCATCGTGTACTTTTTCTTTAGGTTACCTTTATGTTGTTTTCATAAATAATGATGTAATATATGTACTTTAATGTTATATATGATGCAAAATTTGTGTTACTTGCATATCAAACTTATGCTTATTTATATATTGAAGATATGGATCACTCAAGTGATAAAGAGCTATGTCTGATAGACAGCGCCACAACGCACACCATTTTGAGGAATAAAATCTATTTTTCTCAAATGGCTTTAGTTGAAGCTAAAGTCAATACAATATTAGGTGTTGCGAAGCTCATTGAAGGTTCTGGGAAAGCATATGTGATGCTCCCTAATGGGACAAAATTACTTATAAATGACGCTTTATACTCCAGCAAATCGCGGAGAAATTTATTAAGCTTTAAAGATATGCGTCAAAATGGTTATCACATAGAAACCATGAATGAAAACCAAAAGGAATATCTTTGTCTAACGACAACTAAATCTGGCACTAAATGTATTTGTGAAAAAATGCCAGCATATTCCTCAGGACTATATTTCACTCATATTAGTCCATTCGAAATAAATTTGGTTTCTAACGCAAAGTCAGATGATCAGAAAACATTCATGTTGTGGCATGACCGTTTAGGTCACCCAGGCCATGTAATGATGCATAAAATCATTAAGACTTCACTTGGACACCCATTAAAGAATATAAGGGTTCCAATATCAAGGGATTTTCCTTGTAAGGCCTGTTCTCTTGGCAAAATGATCATCAGGCCTTCTATGAACAAAATTGCAACTGAATCACCTGCATTTTTAGAAAGGATTCAAGGAGATATTTGTGGGCCGATAGCCCCGCCATGTGGACCATTTCGATATTTTATGGTGTTGATTGATGCTTCAACACGTTGGTCACATGTTAGTCTTTTATCGACTAGAAATTTAGCATTCGCTAAACTCCTTGCTCAAATTATACGATTAAGAGCTCATTTTCCGGATCATTCTATAAAGAGAATCCGACTTGATAATGCAGGAGGATTTACTTCCCAATCATTTAACGACTATTGTATGTCGATTGGGATTGATGTGGAGCACCCTGTTGCTCATATCCATACACAAAATGGTCTTGCTGAATCTTTGATTAAACGATTACAATTAATCGCCAGACCATTATTAATGAAGTGTAATTTACCTTCGTCAGCTTGGGGGCATGCTATTTTGCATGCAGCAAATTTAATTCGGCTTAGACCGACTGCATATCATGAATATTCCCCAATGCAATTAGTTACTGGACAAGAGCCAAACTTAGCACACATAAAAATATTTGGTTGTGCTGTTTATGTTCCGATTGCTCCACCTCATCGTACAAAAATGGGTCCTCAAAGAAGGTTGGGAATTTATGTTGGATTTGAATCTCCCTCAATAATAAAATATCTTGAACCGATGACCGGTGACTTATTCACCGCACGGTTCGCTGATTGTCATTACAATGAGACAGTATTCCCAACCTTAGGGGGAGAAACCAATAAATCAGACCCAAGTACGAAAGAAATAACATGGAATGCAACAGGATTATCACACCTTGATTCTAGATCAAATATATGTGAGCAAGAGGTGCAAAAGATAATCCATTTACAAAATGTTGCAAATCAATTGCCTGATGCATTCACAGACACAAAGAAAGTGACAAATTCACATATTCCTGCTATAAATGCCCCTGCCAGAATTGAAATTCCAGCTGAGAATTCTGAAAAATCTCTCGCAAACAATTCTTCTATACGCAAAAAGCGTCGCAGGCCACTTGGATCAAAAGACATAAAACCAAGAAAGACTAAAAGGCAGGAATTGATCTGTGATGCCAAAGATGTTCATCCTTCTGAACAAGAAAATGAACAATTTGAAAATACTGGCATAGAAAATGATATTGACAAAACAAACATCTCAAATAATGATTCAACTTCCTTAAATGAGGAAGATATTCCAGATACTGATAGAAACGTTGACAATTATGAAATTTCAATAAACTACGTTTCTACTGGAATGCAATGGAATCGAAAAGATATTGATATTAATGAGATATTTGTCTATGCCGTTGCCACAAATGTTATGAATGAAAACAATGACAATGAGCCAACATCAATTGAAGAATGTCGGAAACGACACGATTGGCCAAAATGGAATGAAGCTATTCAGGCGGAATTAAAATCACTTGAGAAACGTGATGTTTTTGGACCGATAGTCCCTACGCCAAAAGGCGTAAAACCTTTGGGTTTTAAATGGGTATTTGTGCGTAAACGCAATGAGAAAAATGAAATTGTTAGATATAAAGCCCGACTTGTTGCCCAAGGTTTTTCTCAAATGCCGGGAATCGATTATGAAGAAACCTATTCTCCAGTAGTTGATGCAACTACATTAAGGTTTCTCATTGGCATGTCTGTTTTTGAAAGGCTACAAATGCGCCCAATGGATGTAGTGACCGCATATTTATACGGTTCACTTGATACAGACATTTATATGAAAGTTCCCGGTGGATTTAAAATGCCTGAAGCTTATAGCTCGAAACCTCGAGACATGTTTTCCATTAAATTACAAAAGTCATTGTATGGACTAAAACAATCTGGACGAATGTGGTATAATCGTCTCAGTGAATACCTTCTCAAAGAAGGATATAAGAATGATCCGATTAGTCCATGTGTTTTCATTCGGCGATCTAATTCGGGATTCGCCATAATTGCAGTATATGTTGATGACTTAAACATTATTGGAACTCCCGATGAAATTGAAAATACTGCAAAATATCTTATGAAAGAATTTGAAATGAAAGATCTCGGGAGAACCAAATTTTGTCTCGGGCTTCAAATTGAGCATTTGAAGAATGGAATTTTCATCCACCAATCCAATTACACCGAGAAAGTGTTGAAGAGATTCTATATGGACAAAGCTCATCCTTTGACTTCACCAATGGTCATTCGATCTCTCAACATACACGATGATCCATTCCGTCCCCGAGAAGACGACGAAGAAATACTCGGTCCCGAAGTACCATATCTGAGTGCTATTGGAGCTTTAATGTATTTAGCTAATAATACTAGACCAGATATTGCATTTTCTGTAAATTTATTAGCTAGGTACAGCTCATGCCCAACAAGGCGTCATTGGAACGGGATCAAGCACATATTCCGTTATCTCCGCGGTACAGTTGATCTCGGCCTATTCTACGCCAAAGATGTTACAGCTTCTTTAATCGGATATGCAGATGCCTGATACTTATCAGATCCTCAAAAGGCAAAATCACAAACCGGGTACGTATTTACTTATGGTAATACCGCAATCTCGTGGAGATCTATGAAACAGACATTGACAGCTACATCATCAAATCATTCGGAGTTAATTGCACTATATGAAACCAGAAGAGAATGTGTATGGCTGCGATCTATAATTCAACACATTCAAAATGAATGCGGTATGAAGCCTATT